TTATGTCTGTTGTTGCTTAAAAGGATTATTTTTGTTATCATAATACAAAGAAACTAACTACTGTAAGAAGGATTGGGGTAGTCTATTAATAACTTTTACCTGGGGAAAAAAGAAAGAGTGGAAAAAATTAATTTATATCTGACTCTAGATCATTAATTTTGAATATCTGGCTTTTGGGACTAATTATATGTTTGGATACTCCCCAGTAAATGATTATATACACCGGAGTTATTTTTAAAATTTTAGTTCTAATGTTGTTTACAGGGGTTATTTTTGCCATTATAATGTAAAGAAATGAAATAGGACTAAAGCTGTGAGTAATAATTGTTGTTAGAATATATTCTGATTTATTTTGGAATGATAATAAGAACTTTAAACCTCTGTGCAGCCTAATGGTTAAGTACTTTTGTGTTATCTTCAAAGCTTATTTCTGTTGTTGCTTAAAAGGATTTTAATTTTGAATATTTGATTTTTGGGGTTAATTATATGCTTGGATACCCCCCAGTAAATGGCTATAAACACTTGAGTTATTTTTTAAATTTTTTTTATTTCTAATGCTGCTTATAGGGGTTATTTCTGCCATGATAATGTAAAGGAATAGAATAAGACTAAAGTTGTGAGTACTAATTTGTTGTTAGAATATAATATATAAAATATATGGTTAAGATTGGAAAATAAGGTCATGGACCTGTTGGGGCCTGGTTAAATATTCGAGAAATTTTTGCTGAAAAGACTATTGAAGAACTGAGCTGTTGTTGATATCCGTTGAATTAAATAAAAGAAGATAAGGTGATAGGTAATTACTTTAGAATGTAAGTCTAAGAACCTTTATTTTTTGGGTTGAAAAGTAGATTGATAAATTATGAGAAATATGCGTTGGGTTACAGTGGAAAATACATAAGATATGAAGAAATATTTTAAAGTTAAGTTTGACTGTTGCAATGATGTTGAAAATGTAATTTTTGGTTGGGTATTTGTTTGTTTGTTTATCTGTGTTTGTTATGTCTTTAAAATTCAATAAAGAAAGTATATTTTTTTTAAAAGAGTTGTCCGGTTACTTCTTTTTAAAGAGTAGGCTTAGATTTTTGTTCTATAATCCAGCAAAGCAGAAATAAAGCTGTCCAATGAAGTTGTCACCAGCTTTGTTGCACAGGTTTAGAAGAAGGTCACACCTTTCTTGCCAAGAAGACAAAGGTACTTTTTTTAAAAAAAACCCCAAAGGGATATTTTTATTATTTTTTCATAAGACTATGTAACTACAAAGAAATATAGGAAGGGGGACTACAACTATGGATAAAGAAAAGAAACCCACACTAACTAAAAACCCAAGAGAAGGAGATCATATCCGTGTTAAACTAAATGATAGTAATAAAAGTGTAAGTAAAACAATATACTTGTAAAGTTCTTGTTTTTCACAGCTTCTATGTTAATTATATTAGTTGTTATGAGAGAACTTTCTGAGCGTCTTCTTTACTTCAAAAGGCGATTTTCAAAGTCCTTCTGCCTTTACTTCGGTTTTCAATCTCTGAAATCATATACAACTTTCATTGCTCCCGCAGGTACTGAATTCCATTGGTTTGAAGAAAAGAGATTAAGTTCTTATAGCTTTTCCTCTTTTGACGAATTTCAAATGGAATGTCTTTTAAAGTCTTAATGGTTGTATCCCCCAATTTCAGTGGAGTTGCCGAGGTTTCCTTTAATATAGCATCTCTGGTCTGTCTTCTTGCAAATCTGACCACAATCTCTCCAGGCAGGCTATTTTTTAAAATATAATTGGAGTAAGCCCGATAGGCAGTCTCCATATCTTTTACTATTTCATCCGCTGGTAAGCCTGTTACTAGAGCAATAATCTCACCCAGAGTCTTCTTCAAATCTTCTTTTTCAGTTTCAGGAACTCCCTGGAATCTGAGAATCATGTTGGTCTTTTCCATTTGCAGCTGTAACAGACGGTTTTCTTGGAGGTTTTGTGTTGTTTCCACATCTGTCACTCTTTTCTTCATTTTCTTATTTGTGGTGTCCATCTCTGTAATTTTCTCAGTTGCATGCTCCACTTTCTTCTCCGTTTCTGTCAGCTGGCGCTGCTGTAGAGCGAAGTTTTGGTTTAGTGAGGTCAGTCGCTGGTTAATACCGTTGAGTTGCTCCATCATCTACTTGAGCATATCCGCTAACATCTTCATGACGTCTGCTCCCTCTTCCGGTTTGGGGCTCTGACTGCCCGGTGCTTTCGCTTTTAACTTTCCTTGGGAAGCTGCCATTTTACAGTTTTGTTTACAATTTCAAATCGCTTTGCAAGGGCTCAAAAAACTCGTCTTCTCACTATCGGCACTCACGTAAGTCTCTCAAAACAAACTTGCTGTTTAATTCCTCCTTTCCCCCTTGATACGTTTATCTGTCCATGCGCTTAAGAGGCATCCCTCTTTGCACTCCGCTTTTCCCACGGGGGGTGATTCGTTTTTTTAAAATACTTCATTTACTTTGAACTCACGTTCATTGTTGGTCATATCTCTGACCTCGCTCACATAATTCGTTATTCCGCTCAATCTCCCACACTTGTCCCGGTCGAATTAGCTTGTGCTCGAAGGCCACACGACAGCAGGACCGTCAGGGTGGAGGGAAGCCTCAATTCTCTGGCATTGAGCCGTCGAAGAGGCTAACTCTCAAAAGCCCTCTGGCCTGGAGCCTATCACAAAGGCTCCGTGGGGATGCCACTTGAGGTAGCACCCCTCCATGCCGCTGGTGTGCTAATCGCTCCCCCGAGGTCCGGGGAGAGCGACCGCCATCACCAATCCATGAACCGGAAGTCTGACAAAGGTACTTCTTGAATCAAGGCTAAAGGCAGCTAAGACAGAGCACCATCTTTGACTAAGATGGTTTCCTTCACAAATCCCATAAAAATCACTCAAACCTAGAATACTAGTGAGGAAAGAGCAGTGAAGAAGACATAGTTAGGTTCAGTTTTGTAAGTAGGAACTGTAGTCCCAAAAAAGCCTGAAAAAGAGATGCATCAGTTTTCCTCAATGGCTTTTCTTTACTTACTGTAACAATTCCTGGAAAGAGGCTCATATTGTCAAAGCAGTAGTGCAGAGCCTTTATCAATAAAAGAGCCTGTACTCCCTCTTCCAGCTAACATTTGTGGGTTTTTCTATGTATGGGACTGCATAAAAGCCACAAAGGAAGCAATAGAGGTCCCTTCCACATTTGCTGTCACTCCGGATTTTCTCAGTGTTTGAGCCAAAGCAAATTAAGTCCACGGCAAAGCAGCATCCAAATAACCTGGGGCAACAGCAGGCTGAAACCGGGCTGACCACTGAAGGAAGGGAATATAATGCAGAATGGGGGAGGTTGAACTCAATTTTAGTGCAGAATGGGGCGGGGGATCTGGATTTAAAAGAAGGTTGAATTCAATTTTAGTGCAGAATTGCTTGGAGGACACCACAGTAAACATGGATTAAAAGGAGAGTGCAGAAAGGGCGAGAGTTGCATTTATCTGTAACAGTTGTTTTACTGATGGCTGTCTGTGCAGTCCCACAACCCACCCACTTTCCCCATGATAAGGATGAGAAAGTTAGTTCTGTGCCTTGGCAGACTTGAGAAGGAATTGGGCAGATGAGGACAGTTAATGTCAAAGTGCTGGTGAAGAAGAAGAACAGAGCCTGTCACTCTGAAGTGGCACTTTCTTATCTGTGCTTGTGCATATTCCATTGTGTGATTGCCCAATGAGCAGTAGTTAAAAATATTGACAACTGATTGTATTGATACGAGTATTTGCTGATTTTATTGTTTTGTGCATGTATGTTGCCATCAAGGACTTATAGTGACCCTATGAATTAAAGGCCGCGGTCACACGGACCTCTTACCCCGCTAGTTTTCCCGCAGTTCTTTTATCCGCGACATTTTATATCGCTTGGAGGTGGTCAGACGGTCCCTCTGTCTTCCGCTTCACTCGCATGAAGTACTGATCACACAGCACGCCGTCCCCGTGGCGGCGTGGGGTTTTTTTAAAAAAAAACAACCTGCGCATGCGCTTGTCTTCCCATGCGCTTGGGCGTACATGCAAACTAAAAAAGACCAAAATAAAAGCTAGTGCCTGTTTGCACATGCGCATAACTTAAACTGGAAACATACACACACACAAAAGGGGGTGGGAGGGTAGCGCGGTCACGGCGGATTGCTGTCCAGATACCAAAACCGCGGATACAAAGCGTGAGATATCAGGAAAACACCTGTTCCAACGGGTGTCAGGAGACGCGGATAAAAACAGCGGAAGCCGCGGGAGTCAGCCCGCTTCCGTGCGGGAGGTGGGTTTGCCTATATGAACAGGAAACTGTAAAGCGCGAGGGATCAGCAGTGAAGCCCGCACTAAATGTCCGTGTGACCTGACCCAATGACGTCGAAAATGTCCTATTGTTAACAGCCTTGCTCAGGTCTTGCAAACTGAGGGCCGTGGCTTCCCTGATTGAGTCAATCGATTTCATGTTGGGTCTTCCTCTTTTCCTGCCGCCTTCAACTTTTCCTAGCATTATTGTCTTAATCCTAGCATTGTTTCTGTACTAGAGGGCTCTTTTATGTGGAAAGATAGGTTGAAAAAGCAAATAGGTGTAACTAACAGTGCAAATCTAACAGAGTTGCTTCCTTCTAAGTCCACTGAAGTCCCTCAGCTAAGAAGGGTGTAACTGTTTAGGATTGCACAGTTAAGGTGATACATTTCATTATACTACATTTATACAAATGTTGGTACATACTAAATTAAATATTTAAGTCTAGCAGAGTAAGACTACAATCCTAAGGACAGTATCCTGAGAATACGTTTCACTGAATAACATGGAACTCACTTCTGAGTTGACCTGCTTAGGCTTGCTAAGTTAGGTCTAAGTACCAAAGTGAGTTGCGTTCACTAATGTATAATATTATTTCCTTGATGAAACTGCTCAGCTGTAAAATGATATTATCAAGAAGCCAAGAGCAAAATAATACGGAGTTTTCCATTTCTGTTCTTGCAGGTGATTATTGCCCTGTCGGAGAAACACCGATCTCATATTCCTTACAGGAACTCTATGATGACCTCAGTGCTAAGAGACAGCTTAGGAGGAAACTGCATGACCACAATGATTGCAACACTATCAATTGAAAAAAGGAACATAGATGTATGTTAACCCCTTTTCTTCAATATGTTGTTGTTGTTCAGTTGCACACTCAAGTCTGACTCTTCGCGACCCCATGGACCACATCACACCAGGCCCTCCTGTCTTCCGTTTGCTTAATTTCATGTTCGTTGCATCAATAACACTGTCTAACAATCTCATCCTTTGCCGTCACCCTTCTTCTTTTACCTTCAATCTTTCCCAGCATCAGGGTCTTCTCCAGTGAGTGCTCCCTTCTCATTTGGTGGCCAAAGTATTTGAACTTCAGCTTCAGTCTCTGGCCTTCCAGGGAACAGTTAGGATTGATTTCTTTTAGGATTGACTGATTTGATCTCCTTGCAGTCCAAGGGACTCTCAAGAGTCTTCTCCAGCACCATAATTCAAAAGAATCTATTCTTCGGCGCTCAGCTGTCCTTATAGTCCAACTCTTGAAGCCATACATTACTACTGGGAATACCATTGCTTTGACTATACGGACTTTTGTTTGGCAGGGTGATGTCTCTACTTTTTATGATGCTGTCTAGGTCTGCCATCGCAGTGCAGGCATCTTTTATTTCATGGCTGCAGTCATCATCTGCAGTAGTCTTGGATCCCAGGAACGTGAAGTCTGTCACTGCTTCCACGACTTCCCCTACTATTTGCCAAGGAGTGATGGGGCTGGATGCCATGATCTTAGTTTTTTTGATGTTGAGTTTCAAGCAAACTTTTGCGCTCTCCTCTTTCACCCTCAGCAAGAGGCCCTTTAGGTCCTCTTCACTTTCTGCCATAGGGAAGTCAAGGTAAACAACATCTATTGGGTCCCCCTTGTCCACATGTTTGTTCACTCCCTCAAAGAACACTAACTGGTTAGTGAGACAAGGTCTTCCCTTACAGAACCCATGCTGAGTCTGTCTCAATAGTTCTATGTTCATCAATGTGCCTCCTAATTCTTTCCTTAATAACAGTTTTCACCAACTTACCCGATATCGACGTCAGACGGGGGTAACATTAGCTACGTTGCAGTCCTCAGGAATGGAGGCAGATTTTAAGGAAAATTTGGATGTTATGCCTCTGTTGATACACCCCAAGATCGCATTAGCCTTTTTATTGCTGCATCACACTGGCTGCTCATATTTAACAAATGGTCCACCCATATCCCAAGATCTTGTTCACACACACTGCTACCCAGAAGTGTATCCTTCTTCCAGTATGCGTGTTCCTCATTTTTGTTACCCAGATGTAGAACTTGGCACTTATCCTTGTTAAATGCATCTTGTTCACATCCATCCACTTTTCCAATGTGTTTCGATCTCATTGAATTCTGTATCTTCTGTTCCTCCAAATTTGGTGTCATCCGCAAATTTAATGAGTAGCCCCTCCACATACTCTTCCAGATCATTTATAAAAGCATTGAAAAGTACTGGGCCCAGAACTGAGCCCTGTGGCACCGTGCTGGACACCTCCCTCCATTCAGATGAAATGACATTGACCAGTACTCTCTGAGTGCGGTTCTCTTACCAGTTCCCTATCCATCTAATTATCCTAGAGTCCAGTCCACAGTCCTCTAGTGTACCCATCAGAACATCATGGGGAACCCTGTCAAAAGATTTACTGAAATCCAGGTAAACAACATCAACAGCATTCCCTCGATCCAGTAAGCTCGTCACTCGATCAAAAAAGGAAATGAGGTTGGTCTGGCAGGACTTCTTGTGGACAAATTCATGCTGACTTCCCTGGATCACCAAGTTGTCCTTTAGATGCTCGCAGATTGATCCCTTCAAAATCTGCTCCAGTATCTTTCCTGGGACAGAAGTCAGACTGAGTGGCCTGTAGTTTCCTGGGTTATCCCTCCTCCCTGTTGGGGACAAATCTGTGCACTTGTGGCATTGTCTTCTGCTTTTGTAATTCCATTTTCTGTGTTGTTTGTGATATATCATGTTTACCTTTTACTTTTTGCATTTTTAAAACTTTTGTAATCTTAGTCCAACTGTATGTTTTATGTTGTCTAATTACATAGTTTCACATTATGTGATCCACTTTGAGCAGAGAGGGCAAGCTGAATGTGGGGTTGCTGTTTTTGGTGGCAAATGCCAGTTGATACTGATTTAACAGAAATTATATCAGAACTATTATCCATTCCCAAAATAGCTGTTATGTTTTATGAGTCATGACTCACTTGCATGGTTACATGTTAATAAAGTTGTTTTTCCCCCCTAAGGAATCCATATCAACTTGTAGGTTTGCACAGCGTGTTGCCCTTATTAAGAATGAAGCAGTTCTTAATGAAGAAATTGATCCCAGGCTGGTAAGGACTCTTCTTGATTGTTTAAACATGATAGTCATGTTTAAACTAAAAGGTTACTAAAAGTCACTAAAATGTTCATAATTAATTCTAATTCATAAATTTGATTCTGGAAGCTGCAATTTCTTGTTGTCATGTAAAGGCATGTTCCCTCTTACCTCCTTTTCTTATTGATTTTCACATAGCTTTACAGCATGAAAAATGATGTGTGTGTTGCGGTTTCCACACAGGGACAGTCTTCTGTAGTTTCCCTGTAGTTTAAATCAGAGATTGAATAGTGTTATATTGATACACCAATATATGTATCAGGTTCCCTGCATTATCAGCTTTCATTTCTTTAGACTAAGTCTGTATCCCCTTAATGTGCAAAGAAATAAGAAAAAAGGCATAACAAACACAGATGTAAATGTTTTTTTAAAAATTAAAGCTGAGAATTGAAGGAACCTGATAGACAGATTGATATAACAGTATATCGATGTAATGCTATTCAATAGCTGATTTTTTAAAAAAGCCCTAGTGACAGGGGGGAAAAATGGCTGTTGCGGGGTAATTGCTGCTGTGAGAGGGGACCAGGAAAATCCAAACTTTCCCATCCACATGTTAGACATCCAGACTTTGCTGCAAGCTTTCCAAACACTTCAGAGCAAAGCAGGTTTGGGAAAGGTTAGAACAAAGCTGGGGAAACCCTGGAAGTTGTGTGAACATACCACAATTCAGTTAGGGAAGCAGGGGAAAAATCCACTTCGCAACAACATCGAACTCAAGGCGAATAACCTATGTGGAAACACCCTTATTAATCTTGAGTTACAATTTATAATTTTATTAGCAATGTTTATAAATGTGTAGACAAATCCGGAACTGCTGCATCTTATATCTCCCCCCCACTTCTTGAACCATTTCTTAAGATAAAAATACTTATTGTCTCCACATAGGGTTGCCAGCTCCAGCTTAAGAACTATCTGGAGATTTTGGGGGGTGGAGCCTGAGGAGGGCAGGATTTGGGGAGGGGAGGGACTTCAGTGGGGTATAATGCCATTGAGTCCACCTTCCAAAGTGGCCATTTTCTTCATGTCAACTGATCTCTGTCTCCTGGAGATCAATTGTAATCCCGGGAGCTCTCCAGCCACCACCTGGAGGTGGGCAACCCTATCTCTACAACATGTGTGAAATGAATAATTTTTTTCTGCCTCATTCCCGTCCCCCACCCATGGCTGCAGTGTCCTAGTGTCTGTTGCTTCACTTTTTTTTGTTAAGGGTATTTATTTAAATAAAATTTTTATGTTGGATATTTGGTTGTGTTTAAAATAGATAAGCTATCCTAGAGTAATAATGTATTGAGAGAGATCTTGGAGTTGTAGTAGATAACTCACTGAAAATGTCGAGACAGTGTGTGACTGCAATAAAGAAGGCCAATGCTATGCTGGGGATTATTAGGAAGGGTATTGTAAACAGATCAGCCAATATCATAATGCCGCTATATAAATCAATGGTGCGACCTCATCTGGAATACTGTGTGCAATTCTGGTCACCACACCTTAAAAAGGATATTATAGCTTTGGAAAAAGTGCAGAAAAGAGCAACCCGAATGATAAAAGGGTTGGAACACTTTCCCTATGAGGAAAGGTTAAAGCGCTTAGGGCTCTTTAGCTTGGAGAAAAGACGACTGAGGGGTGACATGATCGAGGTTTATAAGATTATGCATGGGAAAGAGCAGGTAAAGAAAGAGGTACTTTTCTCCCTTTCTCACAATACAAGAACCCGTGGGCACTCCATGAAATTGCTGAGCGGTCGGGTTAGAACGGATAAAAGGAAGTACTTCTTCACCCAAAGAGTGATTAACACTTGGAATTCACTGCCACAGGAAGTGGTGGCAGCTACAAGCATGGACGGCTTCAAAAGGGAATTAGATAAGCATATGGAGCAGAGGTCCATCAGTGGCTATTAGCCACAAGGTATAGATAGGGACTCTGGGGCAAGTGATGCTCTGTCATCTTGGTGCTTGGGGGGGGGGTCAACAGTGGGAGGGCTTCTAATGTCCTGGCCCCACTGGTGGACCTCCTGATGGCACTGGTATTTCTGGCCACTGAGTGTTGGACTGGATGGGCCTGATCCAACATTGGCATCTCTTATGTTCTTATGTTCTTATTGTGTTCCAAAGATTTTGTACATATTTGTAGAAGGGATTCTTTTTCAGAATAAAGGAGACTAACAATTGTATTATCAGCTTATTAGTATCACTATTATCAGAATGTACACTTTTAGAAACTGTCTTTCATCAAAAGTCCGAAACTGGTGAACATTTTGCTTCTATTTGACTTTAGACCAGGTTCCATTAAATATCATGGGTTACTTTAGACAGTTGTCCCAGATCTAGCATCATTCGGAGGAAATAAACAGATTTAATAAAGCAAAATACAGTTGTCCCAAATCTAGCATCATTCAGAGGAAATAAACAGATTTAATAAAGCAAAAGATATCAAAGACTTCCTGATTGTCCCAGAGAAACTGGATGTCACTAACAATGATCTTCTTGCCTGGGATTTGTTTTCATATTCCTTGGAATTTAGAAGCAACTTTCATTCCAAATTGTGTAAAAGTACTTCTTTTGATCTGTTTAACCAAACAAAACTATATCTAACATTTAACGTTTTGACATGTTTTTTCAATTGAAAGATCATCCCTGTAATACCTTATTTTGTTTCTTTATATTCCAGCATTGTTTGAAGGGATCTGTGCTACTATTTTTTCTTACAAGTGTGGTCTTATTTATTTAATGTTATTTATAGTCTGCTTTTCTAACTGAGACTCAAGACAGATTATACAGTATAAATCAAATAGAATCAACAGGATGGGACATCCAGTAAACAAAGCAAAAAGGTTTGGGTTGCAGAAATTGGAGAGCAAGCAGAAATCTGAAAATGGTGCTGAGGCAAAGCTTAAGCATTAACGTGACACATTAAATGATGCAGAAATTACTCAGTGAGCCAGTTTGGTGTAGTGGTTAAGTGTGCTGACTCTAATCTGGGAGAACCGGGTTTGATTCCCCACTCCTCCACTTGCACCTGCTGATGTGACCTTGGGTCAGTCATAAGCTCTGGCACAGCTGTCCTTGAAAAAGAGCAGTTTGTGTTAGAGCTCTCTCAGCCCCACCCACCTCACAGGGTGTCTGTTGTGGGGAGGGGAAGGGAAAGGAGTTTGTAAGCCGCTCTGAGACTCCAAGTGAAGGGCGGGGTATAAATCCAATCTCTCTCTTTTCTACAGTAACAGACTATATATTACATATAGTAGTATAGTCCCTAAACCCACCAAAGCATCTTTCTGAAACATTTTGTTATAGTACAGCCCTAATTATGTGTGTGTAAAGTGCCATCAAGTTGCAGCCACCTTATTGCCAACCACGGCCCTGGTCACACAGGCCAGAAAATGGGGGGGGATGCGTGGCTGTTTGCCCCGGGGCAAAATAATGTGCGGTTGCGCGATCAGACGTCCCATGGAGGTCCCGTGGAGGTCCCGTGGTTAGGGGGGAGGTGCCGATCAGACGGCTAGGCAGCAGCAGGACTACTGAATGGCCGGCGAGACATCGCAGCCCGGACAGGCCCTGTGGAAGGGCACCTGGTCCCGCGGGCCGCCGGCACTGGAGGCTGGGCTGAGGAGGCCAACAGGACAGACACCCCCGCCCCTGGGGTGGTCCAGGAGATCCTCCTGGCTCCGCTCTGGAGGTCTGGAAAGGCACTTCGCGGAGCCACCCACACGCGTGCTCCTCCTCCGCCGTCAAAACCGGGAGGCGACGCTGATGGCCAGGAATGACACCCCCCGCCCCCGCTGCACCCAACAGCGGAGAAACACGGCCCGCCCTCAAGGACCAGCCCCCCCACCAGAGTGAAGCGCCGTGGCCCCCCACCGCCAGTCCGCCTGCCTGCCTCTCTCTGCTCAGCTTTGCCACCCCCTCCGCAGGGCGCCCCGGTCCGCCACGACGGCTGCTCCCCCCTTGCATTCCTCCTCCTCCTCCTTCTGTGGCCAACGCCACTTCCTCCTTGTGCGCATGTGCCGTTGGGTGCTTTTGCGCATCCTGGAGACTTGGGGGGAAAAAACCCTTCATGGGACATGGGCGGGTGCCTGATGCCACTAACTACCACCGGAAACGCGATCAGACGCCCGCCCTTGCCCCACGGTTTCTGGAAGCTAGTACCTCAGGGGTACTAGTTTTTTAAACCGCATCTTCAGCGGGAAGCCTCGGGTGAGCCACGGGAGCTCTACGCTTCCCAGATGTGGCGGTGTGATTGCGCCCGGAAAATCCGCCTATCTTCCGTCTCTGTAGCGTGGCTAATGCTCCGTGTGACCACAGCCCACATTGGGTTTTCAAGACAAGTGACTAACAGAGGTGGATTGTCATTGCCTGCCTCTGTGTAGCCGCCCTGGTCTTGGTGGTCTCCCATCCAAATACTAACCACGGCCAACCCTGCTTAGCTTCTGAGATCTGATGAGATCGGGCTAGCCTGAGCTATCCAAGTCAGGGCTACAGCCCTAATTAATTACAGCCCTAATTAAAAAGTCCTCCTGATATGAAGATTATTATGTTATTATATTATACATATATGTTACACAGGCATATCCACTACAATGTCAATGCATAGTGAGGATGCCATCTTCATGAATTATGTATTCCAAACTTTACTAATGCATAATGATAACTATGAGATAACTATCTTCTGAGACAGGCATCAGCTGGGAAATGTCACATGCCGTCTTCCTGGAAGACGTGGATGAATCTAGTTTGGTGGCTTTGTATACACAGCACAATTATTTTAGTACTGTGTTCTTGAATCCTAACTGTCTAAATGAAGCTATAGTTCCTTGCAGAATTTTGCAGAAATTTCTGGATGCTAAAACTGTCATTAAAAATGACAAATATTTATTCATAGAGATGGCTATTTTCTCAACATTTGCTTCAGTTGGAAAAAACTCATTACTATTCCAATTGATGTTCTGCAGTAGTAGGTGAAAGACAGACATTTATATACATGTATATAATGTACCAAGAAGCTGCGGTGGCTCAAGTGGTTAAGACGCTGAACTGCAGGCTGGAAGTTCAGTAGTTCAGCAGTTCGAGACCCGAGTGCCGCATGACGGTGTGAGCTCCCGTCTCTGGTTCCAGCTCCTGCCAAACTAGCTGTTCGAAAGCAATTTCTTGCTTTGGCATTTAGTCATGCCGGCCACATGACCAAGGAAATGTCTTCAGACAGCACTGGCTCTTCGGCTTGGAAATGGAGATGAGCACCGCAACCCTAGAGTTGGATTCGACTGGCTTTCGAGCAAGGGAAACCTTTACCCTATATAATGTATGATCCATGTTATAATGTATGATCTAGTGCTCACATAAGTGCATACTGTTACTCTGTAACTCCAGATAGGTGAATCGTTAGGAAATCCCAAATAGGATTTTCCCAGAATTATAATTTCCTATGCTATGGGCATTTTCTGGCTCTGGGGTAAGATGGAAGAAATACTGCTTTGCAAAGCTGTGGGGCAGTAATATTTTAATTTAATTTTCATCTTAGCTGGTTGGCTTTTAAAATAACATCTTCTGTCTGTGTTATTCAAATCACAGATTTTATTTAATTTGTACTGTTTGTCCATTTTCATAGAAGGAGAAAAAGTGTGTCAATGTATAACAAGATATAAATATAAGATAAGAAGCTCTAAATGAGAGAGGTTGCCCAAGAAATTCCAGATTAGAACCATACCTATTTTATTTTTCAGATGATAGCACGATTAAAGAAAGAAATCCAGGAGCTAAAAGATGAATTGGCCATGGTGACAGGAGAACAAAGATCAGAAGAACTTACACAAGAAGAACTACTTCAGTAATGTTTGGTCTTTTTCTTTTGTTTTCTTTCTTTCACTTGGAATTATTTTGTATCTTAGCATAGCAAGAATCAATTCAGTTCCAAGTACACTGAAATTAAACCAAAGCACATTTTACTGATTCAGTAAAATATGTCCAAGTAATTTGTTTCCCTTACAATGTAAATGTTAACTTCTCATGAGATAGCTGCAAAATTCAGTTAAAAGAGTGGCTGCTTTCTATGGAAAACTGCCATAAAGAAGCGCAGGATTTGTTCAGTTCTGCTTTTAAGGAACAAAGATAAAAATGTGACATGATAATGCCTGTCATATGTTGATTATGGGAAAACTGAGAACCAGTTTGGTGTAGTGGTTAAGAGCATAGGACTCAGATCTGGAGAACTGGGTTTGATTCCTCACTTCCCCACTTAAAGCTAGCTGGGTGACCTTAGGCAAGTCACTGCACTGAGTGGTGCCAAAAAAGAGCTGCAGCTTTGGCAGCCAAACAATACCCCCCCCCCAAAGGGGCATCTCCTGGCTATTCCACACACAATGCCATATGATAATTTTATTTTTCAATTATATGGGGAAACCGTTTGATTGTTTCTGTGGCTCCTGCCTGTTTGGTCTTAACATGTAACACTTCTGGCAGTACATTTACAATTCCAGATAGCGGCATATCCCAGCTAATTGTATGGCTTGTATGTATATCTTCTGGAGATAAAGTGGTAGGAATAGGTATGGGAAGAATGTGTGGGGCTGGAAGACCTGTAGTATTGCTGGCAGGAAGATGCAAATCCCCTGAGGTTATCCTTGAAGGGTCCTAGGTCATGGGAGGAGGAAAAGGAAGAGGGAACTATACTAATTCCCTGCTTCCTGACCTGAAACACCAAGGTCTTTCTAGGGGAAAGCCAGATTCAAATTGGGAAGTTTAATATTAGTTGAGAAGGTTCGTATTGCAATACTTCAAAAGTTTTCAATGAATATTTTTTTGTGTTGAGACATGCTACTGTACTGATTTCTTCTGTACCAAAGTAAGCTTGAATTTATAATGTATGTTATGCCCACATGTTTATTATTTTGCCACATCATTCTCCTTTACGCTTGTTAGTGCTTGGGAGATACATGGATTTGTAAAGAATGCAGATCCATGGTAGCAGGATGCATGATTTCTCTTATGTAAATAGCTCATTTACAGACTTTATGTGGCAGTCAGTTCTGGAAGATGCGTTGTCAGAAAATGGATAGGCTATTAGTTATAAGGGACCTAAGGGAAAAAAAACATAACTCTGCAAATATCATCACTGTTGCATTGGCTCATTCAGAGTTTGTCAGGGCAGCTGGACCGTTACACAGCAGTTAGTTGAGATGAGGAAAAATTGTTTGGTGTTATGGTGCTGAATTGCTACCACTGACTATATGTGTGTTAACAGACAGAATATCTTCCAACTTTGATGTGAGTGAAGGGAGCAGTCATGTTCACAGAAGTCCATTTACTGTGGGAATCATGTTATTTTCACCATGCGACCCCCCAGCAGTTATGCATGCAGTTACGGAGGACAGCTGCTTTTGGCCTGTATTGAAGAAAACATGCACACATCTCACATATTCTTTAATCCAATCCTGGTGGAATATACCTTCCACGTATGCAAGTTTCCTCATCTCTGTGCTTTAACTGCTAGAATCTGACATTACTACAGTGGTATGGGAACAATGCCAATCCTTCCCATTTAAAAAAAAAGCCAGGCTCATTTCAGGGGAATTCACTTTGCAGCTCCTCCCCCTCCTAAAGATAACCCAATATCTGGAGGGTTCATGCTGGTGTGAACAGAAGCGACGGGATTGGCTCCTTCTATCTTGAGCTAGAGCTTTTCATGTTATCCTAACAGTGTATGAAGGAATGGCCCTGTAGCAGTTGCCACGCTCTCATAACATAAGCACTGGGCCAAATGAGGAGGATGTGTCCATTTGTTGGGTGGCAAAGAGATGAGTTCTCTATGAGGCACCTCTTTCCAGTATGAGGTATGTGCTTTGTGTGGCAGAATTTTGGATTAAGGGAGACTTGGCCATTTATGTATAAGGTATATTGAATAGATGTAGCAAAAACAGATTTTGGTCTCTTCCTATGAAGCACTGCAGTGTGTCCAATGCCTGCTTCCTATTTGCAAAATGGTGCCTGGCTGTGAACGAATGGTTTCCCACACATATCTCACATTCCTTTAGCCAAAATGCACTAAGCCCCAAGGCTGGATCTCAAGAGATTTTTGTCTATACCTCACCTGCTCTGGCCAGAGGCTTTGACCTAACTGATAGCCCTTAGGGAGGAAAAGTTTATGATTTTATGGTGCCATCAAGGGGAAGGGCATGGCTACTGGTGCGCTCATAACCCCACCGGATGTTTGATGTATGTCTTTTATTATGTTGCAAGAGGGAATAAATACTGTCAAGGTCCCGCTGTTCAGCACCACCTCCTGAATGCCCTTTTGGGGTCTCCGGGTGGTGGTCAAGAGATGTCTTTTTCTTAATTGTGTACACTGCCGTTTTTGGTGAATGCTCTGAGCTTTCTTATATTATGGTCAGGTTCAAATAAATAGATCGTACTGCGGGCTTGTGTCCTCATCTCTTTCCAACCAAGACTAAGTGTCCTGCCAGAATCCCATCCAGCCCAGTGAACCTAAGTGATGCTGGTACATCAGGTGGAAGCCTGGTGACCAGGTAATTTTTTTTTTCTGCAGCACTTCGATTCCAATCCTACATTCACTGTAGATGAAGAAACCTAGCTTCCATGCGAGCCAGATCTGCATACTAGTCATCTTTTCAGATGCTCAGGTCTAGATTCTGTAGTGATTATCAGCTCTTCATTTGTTTTAAAAAAAAGGGTGGAGGAGAAGAGAATTTCCCTTCAACACCAACCTTTTTTACATAGGTTATTTGCTCCAGGATAGATGCTATTGGGAAGCATATTTTTCCCACTTCCCCACAGCACTGTGATACGTTAGTGCACCTCCTGGTTTTCTCTGGTGTTCTGTGATATTTTTTGCAAACCTGCTTTGCTGTAAACTTTTGGGATATATCACAGCAAAGCCAGGATGACTGCTGTGTGGGTGGGAAAGTTAGATTTTCCTCATCCCATGTATGTTGCAGCCATTTTCCCTCTCTCTGTGATGGCCAATCCCACCTTGCCATAGGGATGTGTGTGTTAAATCTGCAAATGAATATAGTTATAATGCTACAACAATCAGGTATTCTGAATTCCCAGCTTTAATTTTTTTTAAAAAAAGGTATCTAGCCAGTTCCATTACAGAGATATTCCTTTCCTGTTATATTTCCACAATGAAAGGGTAACTTAGTTTTTAAGAGATGAAAGGTGGAAATTGAGAAAACCTGGAAACCTCCTTGTGGTGAGGGGAGGGACTGGCTGTTGCCAGGGGACTGGGACAGGGAAAATGCAGGGAAACCTGTTATGTGAAAACCCTATTGCAACTGTGATGTATCAGCAGCTGCAGCCACAATGGGGAAAGCTCACAAACTTGTCCCTGTGCAGAAAACACCACCCATCACATTGGATTAAAGGCAGTAGTGCCATGGGATATTAGCATCCAATATAGCACACCTGTTTACAATTGTCATTGAATTGATATGAAAATAGGAGTAGACACAACTGTTGGAAGAGCCAGGGCCTTTCTCCAGGGGACGGGGGAAGCATTTGCATCTCCAAAACTGAGACTACACAGAGGACATATCAAAGTTGCTAACCTGTAATTGTTGTCCTTTAAATGAAGTGTCTGTATACTCACCCATCTCTCTTGCCTCCTCTACTGCAGCAAAGGTTGTGGCACATTTGTAAAGTTTGTATTTGAGTAATCTGAGTAAAAGTAAATAGTACCTAGGATTGCCTGGGCCCCTCGTTGCTCTGGTGGGGGGATTTAGGGGGTGTTCCAGGAATGGGCAGAGAATGCCCCCAAGCCCCACCCCCAAGAATTACCACCCACCCAGCCACCCCTATCCCTCTCCTCCTGCCAGATTTAAAGGGCTTAGCTGATTGGTGAGGACTACATGGCCTGTTGATCAGACTGCATGCCTGTTGATCTATCAGGAATGAGGAAGAGGGGCGGTCGCGGGCTGCACACTCGCTCACTCTTTAAAGGGTCTTCTTGCGAGCAAGTGTGTGGTGCACAAGTGCCCCTCTCCTTCCCTCCTGCTAAATTTAAAGGGTCCTCCAGCTGATCAACAGGCCACGTGGTCCCCACCGATCAGCTGAAGCCATTTACATCTGGCAGGAGGGGAGGGAGAGGGGTAGAGGCAAATATACAGACTAACTAGAAGTTTTAAAATGAGGATCCACAACTTTGTTGAGCATGTGAATTCTGAATTTTGAGAAAGAATAGTGGGTCCTGCCACAAAATAGTTCTTGTAGATAGCACTAGTTATAGTAAAGGTTGTTTTTGGAGTTGGAGGCCAGTCACAAAGCGGCTACCATTGTTGGCAGGATCAACCCTTTGCTTTGGATAATGATGCTGTTTGGATTCAGTTTTCAAATAATGTGTAGGGTTTGTTTCCTGTATGGCCAACAGTTAGAGGTTGCCAGGCCCACAGATATAAGTAAGTCTATGTGTATGGACAAATGAAGACCAGATAGCTGTGATATAACTGCAGGGATGAGTGGTCTGTATTGTAACTCAGTCAGCTAACAGGGAAGCTTCCTGTTTGTTTTTCTGTTCCATTCAAATCCCTTTGGATTTTATTGCCAACACTCAAGAAATAAGCAAAGCACGCTGGCAAATGCTGCGGTGCCTACAGGCATGCTTTAGAACCATGCTTCAGCCTTAGAATGTGTCTGTGTTTTGGATCTTTCTTGTTTTGTGATACTGTAAATTTCAGGACAGTGATTTCAGCTGACCTGAAAATCTGAGATCCAAATTCAAATCAAGATGTGACCAAAAAATTAACCCAAAATTAGTTGATATTGTTAGTTCTCCAGTCAAATAATTGGAAGTAGCAAGATTCCAGTAGTCAAGAA